CCCAAAAAAAAAAAAAAAATTAAAATTGGAAGTCAAGGCTTGGGGTGATCCAAAAAAAATTAAAAATAAAGGCACAGGATGATCCCAGAAAAATAAAATTAAACGTTTGGGACGATCCCAAAATAAATTAAATTCAAAGGGAGGGCTCGGGATGATCCCAAAAAAATCTAAAATTAAAAATGAAGGCTCGGGATGATCCCAAAAAAAAATTGATCCCGATCCAGCCCCAAATTCCAGGATTCAAGAGGGCCTGAGGTTTTACTTTTAATATTTTGGGATCATCCCTAGCCTTTAATTTTAATTTTAGGTTTTTTGGGATCACCCTGAGCCTTTCATTTTAATTTTTTGGGTTTTTTTAAAGGATTATCCTGAACCTTTTATTTCAATTTTAGGGTTATTTTGGGGGGGATTATCCTGAGCTTTCCTTTCCATTTTTTTGGGATCATCCCGAGCCTTTACTTTTAATTTCAGCTTTTTTTGGGATCATCCCAAGTTTTTGCTTTTGATTTATTTGAGATCATCCTGAACATTCCATAATTTTAAATTTTTTTGGGGGGGAATCATCCCGAGCCTTTATTTTCCATTTTTTGGGATCATCCCAAGCCTTTCATTTAAATTTCATTCCGTTCCAATTTTTGCTCTTCCCACAAAAAAAAAAATAAAAAAAAAAAGAAAAAAGGGATTTTCCCTCTCCCAGTCCCCAGTTCCAAATCCTGGAGTGGCTCCCAGGAGCTGGGAATTGATCCAGGGGGAATCAATGGGAATTTGGTGGGAATTCAGTGGGAATAAAGTGGGAATGTGGTTGGGAATCCCTGGGAATTCCTGGAGTTCCCATGGCCGTATCCCAGGCCTGGGGATCCTGATCCCCATCCTGATCCTGACCCTGATTTAATCTCAATTCTGATCCCAATCCAGATCCTGATCCCCATCCTGATCCTGACCCTGATTTAATCCCAATTCTGATCCCAATCCAGATCCTGATCCCCATCCTGATCCTGACCCTGATTTAATCCCAATTCTGATCCCAATCCTAATCCCAATCCAGATCCTGATCCCCATCCTGACCCTGATTTAATCCCATTCTGATCCCAATCCTAATCCCAATCCAGATCCTGATCCCCATCCTGATCCTGACCTGATTTAATCTCAATCCCAATCCCAATTCTGATCCCAATCCCAATCCTGATCCTGATCCCAATCCCAATCCTGACCATGATCCCTAACCCTAACCCTGATCCCAATCCAGATCCTGATCCCCAGTCCTGATCCTGACCCTGATTTAATCCTGATTATGATCCCTATCCTGATCCTGACCCTGATCCTGGCCTGATTTAATCCCAGTTCTGATCCCAATCCTAATCCAGATCCCTGATTCTGATCCCTCTCCTGATCCCCATCCTGATCCTGACACTGAATCTGACCTTGATCCTGACCCTGAATTAATCCTGATCCCAATCCCAATCCTGTTCTGACCCTGATCCTGATCCCGATCCCAATCCTGACCATGATCCCCATCCTGATCCTGACCCTGATCTTGACCCTATTTAATCTTGATTCTCATTCCAATCCTGACCCTGATCTTGATCCTGACCCTGATCCCAATCCCCACCCTGATCCTAAGCCTCAACCTGAGCTTGAGCCTGACCCTGATCTCAGTCCTGATCCCAGTCCCAATTCTGATCCCAATCTCAATTATGATCCCCATCCTGATCCTGACCTGATTTAATCCTGATTCTGATCCCAATCCCAATCCTGATCTGACCCTGATCCCAATCCTAATCCTTGATCCTGATCCTGACCTGGATCCTGATCCTGACCATGATCCCAATCCCAGTCCCAATCCCAGTCTCAATCCTAATCCCAGTCCCAATCCCAATCCTAATCCCATCCCTGCTCTGCCATTCCAGCCCTGAAGCTGCTCCTGAAGGATCCGGTTCCGGCCGTGAGGATCAAGGTGGCCGAGACCCTGGGACGCCTCGTCCGCCTCCTCTGAATCCCAGAATTCCCAAAATTCCCGGAATTCCTGGGAATTCCCAGCTCCGAGACCCTGGGACGCCTCCTCTGAATCCCAGANAATCCCATCCCTGCTCTGCCATTCCAGCCCTGAAGCTGCTCCTGAAGGATCCGGTTCCGGCCGTGAGGATCAAGGTGGCCGAGACCCTGGGACGCCTCGTCCGCCTCCTCTGAATCCCAGAATTCCCAAAATTCCCGGAATTCCTGGGAATTCCCAGCTCCGAGACCCTGGGACGCCTCCTCTGAATCCCAGAATTCCCAAAATTCCTGGGAATTCCTGGGAATTTCCAGCTCCGAGACCCTGGGACGCCTCCTCTGAATCCCAGAATTCCCAAAATTCCTGGGAATTCCTGGATCTGCTCAGCAATACCCCGGGGGACCCCAATCCATGGGAAAAGTCTTCCTGCACCTTCTTCCCGGACACGGAGCAAAAAAAGTGGGAGAAGGGCTGGGATTTGGGATCAGAGACGATCCCACCCCTCCGGCTGCTTCCCAAAACTCCCCTCCTGTACAGAGACCTCTTTTTAAATAAAGCTTTTGGCTCCTGATCCCGCTCTGGAATTCTGGGATTGCTCGGGATCTGGGGGTGGGAAGGGGTGACCCCACCCGTGTCTCCATGGGGATGATCCAGGGATCCTTCCCAGCTTTGGATCCCTATGGAAAATCTTGGAATTGTCCAGCTCGTCCTGCCTCGGTTCTGTCCCACCTCTGGCTTTTCCCTCGGGATCCTGGTCCAGGTCCCATCCCAGATCCCAGTCCAGATCCCAGTCCAGGTCCAGTTCCCATTCCAGGTCTTGTCCCAGCTCCTATTCCAGGACCCATTCCAGATCTTGTCCCAGATCCCATTCCAGATCCCATTCCAGATCCCATTCCAGGTCCAGGTCCCATTCCTGACCCCTCCCAGATCCCATTCCAGATCCCATTCCAGGTTTAGATCCCATTCCAGATCCCATTGCAATTCCAGATCCCATTCCAGGTCCCATCCCAGATCCCAGTCCAGGTCCAGTTCCTATTCCAGATCCAGGTCCCATTCCTGACCCCTCCCAGATCCCATTCCAGATCCCATTCCAGATCCAGGTCCCATTCCAGATCCCAGTCCAGGTCTTGTCCCAGATCCCATCCCAGATCCCATTCCAGGTTCCGTCCCAAATCCCATTCCATCCCAAAAAACCCTTTCATGATTCCAGTGGATTCTGGGAATTCTACACGTAGGGAATGTGGGGATGGGTCTGGGATGGGCTATTCAGGGATGTGGGATTGGGAATATTGGGGAATTCAGGACATGAAGAGCCTGGGATCGTATCCAAAAAAAGCCTTTATTGAGCACTGGGAATTCTGATGGCAGCAGATCCCAGTGGATCCCAATTGGATTCCTGCTGGGAATGTCAAGTGTGGGGAATATGGAGATGGGACTGGGAATATTCAGGAATGTGGGAATGGGAATATTGGGGAATTCAGGACAAAAAGACCAGGATTGTATCAAAAAAAGCTTTTATTGAGCACTGGGAGTGGGAATTCCAAGCGGATCCCGTTGGGTGCTGTTGGATCCTGTCAGATCCCGGTGGATCCCTGTGGATCCCGTTGGGTCCCGGCTCAGGTGTAGGGAATGGAATATTGGGGAATTCAGGACACAAAGACCAGGATCGTATCCAAAAAAGCCTTTATTGAGCTCTGGGAGTGGGAATTCCAAGCAGATCCCGTTGGATGCCGTCGGATCCCGGTGGATCCTGGTGAATCCCGGCAGATCCCAGCTCAGGTGAAGGGAATGGGAATATTGGGGAATTCAGGACACAAAGACCAGGATCATATCCCAAAACAGCTTTTATTAAGTGCTGGGAGTGGGAATTCCAAGCAGATCCCATCAGATCCCGTTGGATCCCGTCGGATGCCGTCGGGTCCCGTCGGATCCTGGCTCAGGTGTAGGGAATGGAATATTGGGGAATTCAGGACACAAAGACCAGGATTGTATCCAAAAAAAGCTTTTATTGAGCACTGGGAGTGGGAATTCCAAGCAGATCCCGGTGGATCCCGGTGGACCCCTGTGGACCCCGGCTCAGGTGTAGAGGCGCACGGTGCCGTCGGCGCCCGAGGAGAAGAGCCAGGGCTGGTGGGGGTGGAAGGCGACGTCGAGCACGCCCAGGTCGAGCGCGGGCGCGTGGCCCTTGAGCACCTTCAGCGGCACCAGCAGAGGGTTCTGCAGCAGGTCACTGCCGGGAAAACACCGGAATTCCGACGGGGAAAACCGGAATTCCGACGGGGAAAACCGGAATTCCCACAGGGGGAACCGGAATTCCGACGGGGGACGGGAATTCTGACAGGGGGAACGGGAATTCTGACAGGGGAACGGGAATTCTGACAGGGGGAAGGGGAATTCTCACACTGGGAATGGGAATTCTCACACTGGGAATGGGAATTCTCACACTGGGAACAGGAATTCTCCCACTGGGAACAGGAATTCTCACACTGGGAATGGGAATTCTCACACTGGGAATGGGAATTCTCACACTGGGAACAGGAATTCTCCCACTGGGAATGGGAATTCTCACACTGGGAATGGGAATTCCAATGACAGGAACGGGAATTCCAATGGTGGGAATGGAAGTTCTCACACATCCCATAAATCCCATAAATAAATCTCATAAATAACTTCTATCAATTAGTCCCATCAATCAATCCCAGAAATCCCATCAATAAATCCTGTAAATCTCATCAATAAATCCCATAGAACTAAATCCCATGGAAATAAACCCCATATAAATGAATCCCATAGAAGCAGATCCCATATAAAGGAATTCCATAGAACTGAATCCCGTACAAATAAATCCCATATAAAGGAATCCCATAAAAAGGAGTCCCATAAAAAGGAATCCCATATAAATCCCATATAAATGAATCCTATAGCACTGAATCCCATATAAACAGATCCCATATAAACGAATCTCATAGAAATAAATCCCATAGAACTGAATCCCATATAAAAGAATCCCATATAAAGGAATCCCATATGAACGAATCCCATAGAAATAAACCCCATATAAAGAAGTCCCATATAAATGAGTCCCATATAAAAGAATCCCATATAAAGGAATCCCATAGAAACAAATCCCATACAAAGAAATCCCATATAAAGGAATCCCATACAAAGGAATCCCATAGAACTGAATCCCATACAAATAAACCCCATAGAACTGAATCCCATATAAAAGGGTGTCCAAGGCCCCAAGCCCACAATTCCCAGGAGGAATTCCCGTGTCCCGTACCTGTACACCATCCCATGGCAGACGATGACGGTGCCGTCGTCAGAGCCCGAGGCAAAGAGCGGATACCGGCGATGGAACGCCACGGAGCGCAGGGCACGGCGATGGTGCCTGCCAAAACACGGGACAAACTGGGATCAACTGGGATCAACTGGGA